GAGAGGCTGCTTACTCGACTGAAGGCTAACCTAGGACAGCAGTTTATACTCATCCCCACATTGCTAGAAGGAACTGGGACACAGAAATCGTTGCTATCTTCCCACTGGGGAATTTATCACAACTCTCTCCAACTCCTCACAGAGAATTTTTTCTTCAAAAGAAGCAGACTCTACCTAACTGGTGACTGCCTACAGCTCCACTGCCGAAAGAAAATCTAAATACATTTCAAAATAAGGGAAAAAGGTTATCAGAATCAAGGACCATCAAAAATTAATAACAAACTTGTTACATAAGCAGACAGAAGAATGAAGCTCAAATTAATGTTTTAATTAGCCATAACAATCATTTTACAAATACACAATGATCTAATAAATTCAGCAGCGTTCATTAAGCATGCTGAATGTAAAAACACAGGCTAATACTGCATAAGTCCAGAAACGTGATGACAGTCAGGTATAATCTACCTACCACACAGTCAGAACACAATGCCCTCCCTGTCATGTCATATGACTTGGGGGGGAGGGAGGGGGCATAAAAATACTCATTCCAGAGCAAGAAATCCTTGTCTTCTCCTGTTAAGTGTACCAGCTCTAAAAATTTCTAAGCTCCTTTTTCCAAGTCCAAGTATTTCATAGCACCCACTTATTTTACTATGACAAGTAGGTGCTTAAGCATGAACACAGAAGTTTAAACACTTAACTTCATCTTCTCCAGTAAGAATCTAGGTTAGTCTTTTCATAGTTATTAAAATTCTTAAAATTACGTCCTTTGAAAATTAAGAGTTCTTATCAGAAAGATCATGTACAGAGAAACCAGTATTTGAGAATTTCTTTCAGATTATTTTGCATCCTGCAAGTTACTTGATTTACATATACATAGTTCACCAAGATGCTTTATTACTCAACACATACAGATTAAGAACCAATCCCTAGGTCTTTATGTCACCATACTAACAAGTAACTTGGACAAAATACCAAAGACATATCCTTTTTAGAGGGGAAAAAGATATACCCTTATTAAGCAACAATGCACAAGTAAAGGCATGAACAAATTAATGAGTAGTCAAGACAGACTGGAATAGAGTATAAAATACTCACTGGCCTTAACCAACTACCTTGCCTATTAGAAAGCCATACAGCCTTCAAACACTGCTTTTATGGAAAGAAATTTCTGATGACTCAACATAATTAAAACACCATTTAGTTACACTTACTGTCAGTGCAGCTTGAAGTTTTAAGTAATTTTTACCTTTTAAATTCATTTTATATTCATTACCTGCATTTGTCACAACAGATCATATATCCATCATCATGTGTAAAGCCACAAATGCATCTGGTAATATCAGTTCCATAGCTTCCATCCTCTGACGTACTGATGGTAGTAGCACTGGAGGTTTCATCAAAGTTGGGAGTGGTAAATATGCCTACTTCATTCTTGCTTATAAGCACTGATGGAGGAGGAGAAGCTGGAGGCGTTGGAGGAGGCCGAGCACCATAGTTATGGTCCTAGACGTTTGTTGAAAGATAAGTTATAGCTCTTAAACGTTCACACACTGATGGTTATTTAAGCCAAATTGTAAGAATTCCCTTTGTAAAGAATTTCAGAGACTTATTTTTTAGTAAAAGTTTAAAATTTTGTTTCTGTCATTGCTCATTCTTGTTTTCTACCTTCTCAACTATGTTTTACATATAAGTGCACTATGTTCTGTATTCTGTTTGTAATCAATCATCTTTAGTCAACTTACCCAACTCCCAATAAGATATAAAAATATAAGCATGAATCGGAGTTTTTCCAATTAAGAACAGCAGATTTTACTTAATCTATTTTACACAGAATACTTAGCATGAAACTTACTGCATAGGGCAAACCAATGTAACTGTGTGAATGCGAGCTGCTGGTATACAACTGGTGCGGATAACTGTTCGATTTTTCAACTACCACAGGGCTAGCTTCTACAGATTCTGGTCTGCAAGACAAAAGACAGAAGAATAATAAATACAATTAATATGTAATTTATATTAAAAAATTACAGGTATTTGTTGCACAACTTCTAATTAATTGCCTGCTGTTCCTGTTTAAAGGAGTATACAAAACGGGAGGAGGGAGGGAGAACAAACTCACACAGCCCCAACTGCCCCCTTACCCCAAGAAAAAAAAGGAAACCCAACCCTCCTCTTTCATTTAAAATGAAGCTTCTAGAGGGGCAGAGAACTTACGCCTCTTTAGAGTTACAAAATTTTTCTCAAAAAAGTGCGTGCTGAATCACATGACATAAGCTGCAAATGTGGGACAGAAAAGCATGTTACACACTTTGCCACGGAGTCATCAGTCTGCATGCCCAAGTCTATAGAGTTGTAACAGAAGCTGCAGAAAGGACTTCAGTATCATTATGACCAAAGATAGAAGCAGTAATTCAGAGAGCTGCACACCACCAATCCTACTCGATTCTGCAATGACAAGGGGCATCCCTGCACCGCCTGCAACCATCCATACAGACCAGTACTCGAGGCAGCAGAGTACTGTTTCTACAAACAGAAATAAGTAGGGCAAATCTATCTAAAAAAGGCAGTTTAACGATTTATCTTTAAATAGGAAGGAAAAAAAAAGATAAAAATTTGCAAGAGAAGGTTTTGTAGTGAAAGACAGTGCCTTCTTTAATACACAAACTATGGTTTTAATGCACTAAACCACAACATGAAAGACAAGAAAGATAAAGGAATACTAAAATAGGAAGATCTTTTTGAGCACAAGAAATTTTACTTTCATTACCTTTCCTCAGCAGTTACATTTGTGTGTGCATGCAAGTATATATATACTCTCATGACTGAGACACTTTTAGTCAGTAACTTGTACCTTATTCATTGCACCATGATTCAATCACACTAGGACAAACTTCAAATGAACCCAGAGTTACCTAAGGTTTTTTTGTTTGGTTGGTTTTGGGGTGGTTTTTTTTGTTTTCGTGGGGTTTTTTTTGTTTTTTTTTTTTACATTGAAAGACAAGGCAAAACATTAATACCTAAAACTGAAGTGACTTTTGACTCACATCACAAATCAAGCCTGGTTCACTTTTCCAATTTTAGTTTTATTATGCATGAAGTCTATTTCCCATCACAAATATCGTAATAATTCCTTGAACTGACGTTTTAAATAAAGTTGGTATTTCTGAATCTTAAGTTAAAATAGGTATCAGTGTTTTTTCTTAGACATTAAGATATTAGAGGCTTTTTTATTATGCCATGAAGTGATAATAGGTTGATTTAAAAGGACACCAGCAACTTACGTTTGTTCGTAACATTTTTTGTAAGAATATAATCATTAGCTCTCTGAAAACAACATCCAGTATTTTCACGTCTACTTGAAAATGTCCTATTAACATTTTTGGTGGCCCATTTCTTCTTACTAGCTTTTCCCCCTGTGAGGTTACTACATGATAAAATTGTTTAAAAAGAAACCCTAGTTAAAAACACTACTGGGCAAAGACTTTCGTTTCTAGAGCTCAAAGAAAAAACATCTTTTTTTAAAACATTAATGTCTCTAACAGCCATCAGCTGCATTTTTTCTAGAGTGAGCAAACATGCGAGTGCTCAAATCATGTGAAGTACTAACATTAGAAATACAACTTCTGACTACCATGAGACAAAAGCCAACTCTGACGACACTTGCCTTCCGTTAACTTATAAACCCAGAAAAATCCTCATTTACTCTCTTACACTTCTCAACTTGAAAATAATTTTTTTCAGAGTTTGTTGGAATTATCTTCTAGAAGCAGCTCAGAATTTGCCAGGTTCACCAAACCCATGACAAAAACCAAAACAAAAACCAAAACAAAACCAAAACAAAAACCCAACCAGACAAAAGTTGGAAAAGCTGTGCCTTTCCAACAGATTTGCCTTTATCTATTTACTGACATAATGCATTTGTGCAGTAATCATACACCATTAATATAATCCAGTTAATCCTTCTGATGATGTGCCAATCAAAACGCCAACAAATGAGGCATTGACTATCCATCCATCATGGCGAGGACAGAAATTAACTTATCTTTCTCCAGTTCAAGAGGGTCTTGACCACTGTATTGCTTCTATTGCTATTCTTCAACATTTATTGAATGGGACAAGCAGTAGCATGGTTACTCTTATCCACTATGTGTTCAATGCTCAACCTAGGTCTTGTTTGCTTCAGTATATGGAAAATACTCACTTTTCAGAATAGGAAGGCTTACTGATACAGGACAGGACGAGGAATTCAGGTATGATCCATCCTTCAGCAATGCCACAATTAATTTAGGAGAGCTTCCTTCATTAAAAATAAATATTACCATGACCTAAATACCAGTTACTTCAACATGGGAGCATTCAGTGAAAGATACCAGAATGGAAATGTCCTAAAAAGCGAGGTCATGAGTATTTCATCGACTAACTACAAAAACTAAAAAGGTATTCTAAATCTCTTGCAAAATATGAGGCAAGACAAGACATCCTACTCCCTAAATCCATTTCTACCTACTCTAGCAATTTATAAACCATTTAAGAGAACCAAGTTTAATATTTAGAGGCATAACAGTTGTGGGAAGCAAAAGCATTAAGATTCCAAAACCAAAATATAGAAGACAAATGCATTTATCCCCAACTATTTTAATACTCATAAAACAGACTCAGCGTACAGGGTTAAAAAGGAAAAAGGACAGCTTTACTTGAGCGAGGAAATCCAGAAAAAGGGTGGGAGAAAATTAGGTGAGACACAAAGGCAATTAAATTTTTGTAACATAAATACAAAATTAGATCAACTTTCAGCAAAGCTTTTTTTCAAATGCTTATCCAGGGGGGCCACAGATACTTGTTTAAATTGTAACAGAAGCTCACCAGAGCTCTAAATGTAACTGTTGCTGTTCCATTTATCCACTCAAATGCTATTGGGGTGGGGAACAGTGTGAAGGAGACTGAGAAATATGGGAAGGAGGTGGTGAAGCATTCACTGAAGCTAGAAATGAATCATCGTAGATTTCTTTTATAGTCAATAGAAAAGTGACATTCATTCCAAAAGCAGTACAGAATGAGTATCATTTCTCCACAGAACTACAGACAACCCTCTAACTTTGGCAGACAGGTCTGCCAACACTTTAATATGCCCTTCACCAAATTCCTTATTACCTCTCTTCTGCCCACCACATGCATGACCCTGACCTTAACAGAAAACACACCCTCTATACTATCATTTGTCCAAAGGTCAAGGCCTTCTTCTCAAATAGGTATCTCCGAATTGGAGAGTTTTGTGAAGGAATACCTCTTGGTAAAATATTTAATTGCACAGCCGATTAAACCATGAGATACCACTTAATTTAAAAATCAACTTTTAAAAACATTTTTACTCAAGTAGCAGGGCTCAGGTAGCAAGGCATGAACTACTGTATTATAGACATCCACCCTAATCTCACCATTGGCATTCTTATGGGCATCCCAAAAAGCAAGTTTTCAGGGAGGAAAAAGTGTAAGCACTCAGATTTGAAAGAACACTATGAGGTTTTCCTTGCTTGTATTTTTGAGCATAAGCCAGTTCTGTAACACATTGAGGTATGAAGCTTGTCAGTCTTCTGAGCATACCACATTTTTCAGCTTCACCTCAAACAACTGCACCCTTAGCGTCTAGCTAAGGGAGATATTTATGATATTTTAAGTTTTCATCAAAACTGAAATGTTTGTATTACAATATAGTATATTTGAAGTTAGACCAAAATCCTAATATTATGCCCTAAAATAAACAAATATTACCATGATAAACTGACCATGACATTTTGCTAAAACGTCATATATATTTGTTAAGTGTTGTGGTTAGCAATTCAAAATATTCATGAGGTGCAAAATATTCACAAGGAACAAAATAAAAAAAGCACCACAAAGAGAGCTTCCCCCATGCTCCTGGGCTGCAATGGTTTAAGACATTCCTGTAACTTGAAAACAAGAACAAAGCAAAGAAACCCGTATTTTTAAAAACCTCTCAAATAATTTTCATTCTGCAAGCGAAACAACTCTCATGTTCTGGGTCATTTCCTACTGTTCATATTTAAATGTACAACGCAAACTGAAAATATTCTGCATGTTGCCAGCAGATGGCATTAGTAAAAAGTTAAATAAGCAACACATGAGATCAGATAGTTTACAAAAACTCAGTCCCTACAAGCTTCTAGTTAACCTATGTTAAGGGAATCAACTATCAACCATTCTAAGCAATAGGCAATTCTTCTTTAAGAAGTCCTGTGCCCCCCACCCCATTCCTTTTAAATACTCTTCTGTTTCTGACCAAGTAATAATTAAAAAAGAGGGAGTGGTTTTTGACTAACACCCAAAATACAATTAGTCCTTAGAATCTGGGGCCATCAACCACTTCTATAAAAATGTAGGTATTCAAATGGGAAAGAAAATCTCACTAAAACTAAAATTTTCAAAGGCAGCTGGGTATTCAAGCTTTAGGCTATGAAAACTTAGCTAATAGTACTTCCTGAAAACATCTGTCAAAACTCCAAATGAAACTTCTTGCTTCCAAGCACGCTTCAGCAGCATCAATCTGCCATATGCCAGTTTGACAGGTCTAATTTTCAAGGAGTTCAGGTTTGTCTTCCCTTTGCACCAGCACACCTGAGCAGTACCTGGCTGAAGGCCAGCTCAGATAAAGGAACGTAATGTATTTTGTATGAAAAACAGTATTTTCTATTTCAAGACACTTCATCTAACCAAACACACCTCATGGGCTTCACTACCTAGACAACAAAGAACTGAGCACTACTTCTCTACCACAGAGTGGGTTCTGCTACCTAAGCATCTCATAGCAGGCCTAGAAGTATAGGCTGGCCCAATACCCCCTGTAGGAACTGGCAAGCTTCCCATTGTCCTAAAATACTTTAAGAGGAAAAAAAAAGGAAAAAAAAAAAAAAAAATCCCTGTTCCAACAACAGTCATGGGAGGGTAGGTTTT